TCATAATCACAGTCGCCTCCAACGCCGCCGACCAGCGTCTTCACAGCGACCTCATATTGCCTGGCCCAGCAGGGAAAGCTTTGTTTCTCCTCTCCCGCGAAGGGCGGCGGCAGTTCAATCCTCACATTGCCTGCAAATGGCCTTTCCCTACGCCGCTCTCTGCAGTCCAGGGGGTCCTCGTCATACTTCCACATCTTGCCGCGTGTTATTGTCTTCATGCATGTAATTCCTGCCTACCCTCACTACCTACTACAACCGCCTGGCGAAACTGCGGCATGAACTCCCCGACTCGTGCTAGCCTAACACTGTACAAAGTGAAGCTACGCGCGTGTTAGCAGTGGCTAACATGAGCTAACTAGCTGAAACTTTCACAAACTACCTCGACAGTCTCACCAACTACACTTTGTCTTCGGCGGACGTCATAGCAAAACGGCCACCGCTGCCACCAGTTGGCTGTTACCATGTAACCGAGCGGTTATTAGTTCGCCTACACGTTTTATGTGGCTACCAAAATAACAACACGGAGGTTCCGTTGTCTGAACCAAGACGGGACATCTTTATTTATTTTTTCTTCGTCTCTTGCACATTGTTGAACCGGAACAGCATCACAACTTCCGTTTCTCCCCCACTTCAAAATAAAAGCCTCTACTCAACAAAGTAGCTTACATATATATATGCTTAGTGTTTGCGCCCCTACAAGCTAATGATTCTAATGATTGTACTTGTATTTTAATGTTTTGTGAATAAACTGGACTGAACTAAATTGAACTGTGCTTGGCATCATGCAGCGGCTTGTTCCGCCTCTCTCTGTCAACTCCATGTTCTCCATCAGCAATGCGTTTTATAAAGTCGCCTAAAAGGCACAGAACCGTGTTTTCCCCGTATTTTTCCACCCGTGATCCGTTATCACAGCAGCAGGTGAGCTGCTTGTTGGCTTGTTAAATAGGCAGCCTATCACCAACATCTGCACCCTCTGTGTTCAATGCTGCTTTACCTGGTCCGTGCTTGTGAAATATCAACATGCACGTAAGACGAATGCTATCCCCTCTCCCCCCTCCCGATCTTTAACATCGTCAGATGGAAATTTTGTAGCCTATCGTTACAATCACTTACTATCCCTTTAAAATCACACAGTTTAAAGGTGGTTAATAATACTGGGAAATCTTTTGGGAAGTCAGTGGGACTGGCCATCCTTATTGTAAATGAGTGAGCATTTTCATATATTTTGATCAAATAATTAAAGAAATGACCAAATATGTTTTTTAGTTCATTGATGGCCGCCTGGATATTCTGAACAAAGGGAAGGAACCAGATGATCTCTTTGAAGAGGAGATCCTTAAGTGTGAAACAACGGCGGGTGTGTATCTGTGTTTGTGTGTGTCCGTGTGTATTGTGTGTGTCAAATTTCCTATTATTCACTTATCACTTCTGTCCTATGTATTTTTGTGTACTTGCAGGAAGAGGCAAATCTTATCAACAGTTAGTTGGTAATTTAAAGGTAAATTCTTTTCATCTTTAATGCAACAGTTTCAAATTTATGTTCCAATCTTGTTGAAAAGTGTAACACAGATGCACTCCTGCTTTTGACAGAAGGGGGGAGGAGCGCTCATCCTTAACATGAAGACCAAAGCAAACATGAGGGTGAGTAATCAGGTGTTTTTGCCCGGAGCAGAGCATGTTAATTCAGTCTGCATAACAAAAACGTAATCATTTTAATCTCCCCCAGGCTAAAGGTCTCGCTAAGTCTGGTTTGAAAAATCTGCTGATGCACAAGGTGGGTCAGTTTATGTGGGTATGTGCTTCGCTTTAGTCAAATTCTGCTGAGGTTTTATTGCAATACTTCCTCCTTGTGTGTGTGTTTGTGTATAACGCAGGCCCACAATGAAGAGCGCACCCTTCAGAGAGGAGGATCAGTGTCACACCGGCGTGTCCAATCTGACTGCTTGCAGAACCGTCTGCCAATCACACAACACTTTGGGATGGTGAGCTCTTTCTCAAACATATATAATATTATTTAAATAATATTTTAAATATTTTATAAAATTAGAACATTTACATATATCCTCCATCATTACCTAATTTGTCTATTGTCCTACTGCTTCTATGTGCTATTTTGCACCTTTTATTGCTCCATTTCTGACGCTTTACTGTGACCCCATCATCTGTTACTTCTATTGGGGGAATGTTGCATTGCTATCTCTTTGCTTCGTTACTCTATGTTGCCTCATGTCAGTCACGTCCCCGTCGGCCTGTTCACAAACTTAGGGCTCCCAGAGACGAGGAGAACACGAAGGACACTGGAGATACATGGGATGGGTGAGAGAGATGGCCAGGAAGAGAACCCAGGAAAAAAAATATGAGAAAACGCGGCATGTATTTTCTTGTTTGTGCCATTGTGTTTTGTTATCTCTGTGCATCAGAGCTGTCTCTGGGCCTGTGGTCGAGCCTGACTCTGAGCTCCAGAAAGATGAAGAGGAGGGGGAGGACTCAATGCTGTGTGACCCAGAGGAGATGGATCTACTTGGGGAGATTTTCGACACGCTCAGCTCCCGCAGTTCCCATGAGCGTGGCCTGCTGTACGGCACACGCAGCCTGGATCTGTTTGGACCGGACAGTCATGACTATATAACGAAGGTAAGAAGATAAAGAACTGGCACACACACATACAAATGTGATTTCTAGTCTAACATCGGCTGTTGGTTTTCCAGCGAGGCTTTCCAGGCAACCCCAGCCAGGAGAGCCTGTCTCTATCCATCAGCGGCAGTGGCAGCCTGCACAGCTGGAATCTGGAAACCACAGAGGAGCTGTCCGACCTGACAGAGGACTCTGACTGGCTGTGCCCTGACACCAGTGTACCAGAGGAGGAGGGGATAGAGAGTCTCCTGGCAACGTGTGAAATGGGGGAGCAGGAAAGTGGACAGGGGGAGGTTAGAGAGAAACAGGAAGAAGTGAAGGTAGCAATAAATGGGAACCAAGAAGAAGAAACAGATGGCAGAAATAACTTTAAGGAAGTGGAGTTAGAGGAAGAGGGAAAGGAAGATGGTCAGGAAAAGAGAGCGAGTTTAAGAGGCGACCCTGTGAAAGAAACGAAGCGAGAGGATGAAGGGCTAAAAGAAAAGAGGGAAGGTGAGCAAAATCAGAGTGAGGAGGTAGTTGAGGGACAAGGGATGGAGCAAGAAACAAATGAAATGCAGAAAAGTGTAGCAAGAGAAGAAGAGGGGAATGAGAAGCAGGAGGAGATAGGAGAAGAGGTGGCAGGATCTTTACACGAACTGAATCTCCATCATCCCGGCACTGTGGAGGAGCACCAAGGACAGAAGGACAATCTGAAATCCACAGCTTCACCTGGGCCTCAGAGTGTCATTGTTGACCCTGAACCTCCAGCAGGTGAGGAAAAAAGCAGTGAAGAAGCAGTAAAGAAAGAGGAGCGGGAGATGAGGCAGACTCCCACTCCTCCTAAAGTGCTATCTGCTGTAGCACGCTTCCAGTCTCAGGCGAATAGCCAGGGCTTTCAAGTGAAGCACAGGACCAAGGAATTGGCTGAACCTGGGAGACCTTGCAACACGTTTCGGAGCTGGGGGAATGCACAAACTCAACCACCATGTGACTCAAATATATCACAAGAGAACAACCGCTCAGAGGGACAGGAGCAGGAAGACTTGCCTCCAATCAAAGTGTCTGAACTTAAAAAGAAATTTGAAGCTTAATGGATTAGGCTGATGACAATCTAAGTTTTCTACTGTCAACAAATGCCCCAAGCCCATTGGTTTCTATTGAAGATCTTTAAGTATATAATGCATTTGCTTGGGACTTTTTTTTCAGCCAGTCAGATTTGATGCTCTTGTGAGTATTTACATCAGCAGGACAGTGAATGCGGGATTGAGTCAAAATAAACTTCAGTGTGTGTTCATCGTAATGAAGGAACATGTCAGCCACTGACATAGTGTGGCTCACTGTTGTGTTTCTAGTTTTTGGCCAATATAGTTTAAAAGATTTTGGTCTTAAGGGATTTGTTGACAATAAGAAAAACAGTAGATCACTAGACTTATCCGAATGCATGCAAACTGGCTGGCAGGTGACCTTGCCAAGATTTAGCAAATATTTAAGATTTGTTTTTATCTGAATATTGTATACCTGATGCAATGGCTAGTGAATTATACTTAGAATGAAGGCAACTAGGCGACACGGTTGAAATAAAGTAAGCCTCTAACAGTGAGGACAATGAATGTTTTGCATATCAGCTATAGTATGGCGATGTGATTTGTCACGGATTGTGAATGTGTGTGAGAGAGATATGTATGCTATCAGTTACTTCCCAACAAAGACAACATTTTGAATATAATTATTCCATTTTTGGTAAGTCTTCACACAGCCTCTAAATAACTTAAACCATAATAAAGTAAACCGTTGGAACATCAAAGTCTTCTCCCCTTGCCTTCAATGCTCAAAGACAAGGGACAGAAAAACTGCCGTAGCACTGGGTGTGCACATTCCTACTTTATTTACATAACACCTTGTGTAGCATACATACCGATTGTTTCTTATGAAATTGAGCTTCTCAAAGCTTTACATAAAAGTGCATCACAGTCATTGTCGGTGTTTTCATCATTATCCTTCATAACTGGAAACAGTGTAAACACAATATGTTTTATATATAAATATACAGAACGCACAGTACAGTAAAAATAGACCAACCTCTGTACAAATACAAAATACATTTCAGTTCATGTGGCAGAATACAGGGAGTGACTTATTTATACAAGGTAATGAGAGTGAAACTCAAATGATACCCATTTGCTCTTTTCATGCAGTAAAACACGTGACAGAATTGACAGTCTGATCAGTCTATTTGTCATCACCAAAATGAAAAGGTGCGGCACAAACAGTGTTTAGTGTGTCTGAAGATTTCTGGTGAAAGGGACAAACACGGATCCACAGCTTTACACAATGAAAGTGTGTGAGGCCACTTCTATATGTTCATCATATGAGGCGTTCCTCTTTGGGCAACGGTAGTGGCAGGCCAGGTTTTTCAGTTCCCCCTGAACCTGTCTGTTTCCTCTCCTCTGCACTGGGCCTGTATGTTCCTTCCATCCTCCTTTTCTTCCTGATGACACACAGCAGCAGCAGCAGCGCTAAGCTGAGCAGAGACACAAACGCCGACACTGTAGGTGGGATTAACACCTGCATTGCCATGTTGACAAACAGCTGGGGAGGGAATCCCACACACAGGTCAGGCTGTCAGAGGGGTTGATAAATGTATAACTCTAGCTAAAACCATTGATGATAACATGCAGCATGTCAAATGAAGTCTTTGTCATGTTTTGGTCTGTAATACTGAATAATATGTTAGTGGTTTCCTATAGAGAAGTGTCATTTGGCACTGAATATGGGGAAATAAAGACAATGTTCACTGTGTGCATTTAAGCACAATCTACAGTCTGAGAGTCTGTGACTAGCAGGTCAACTAAATATGCAAAAATGTTAAATTTGTCTTCATGAAAGAATACAATTTTGTTTTTAAAGAATGGAGAATAACATTCCTAATAATATGCATTAATATTTTCATGAAGCTGAGCTTTTCTTGTGAGGGAATTCATATTTTCCCTTTTATTGGTACCAAAATACATGGATCTTTCCATATCTTCACCAGAATATCCCTAATAGCAAACAGCTACACAGGGATGAGATCATACCACCGTGTTTTGTCTGAACTCACCTTCCTGAGGAATTTAAGGTATCAAGGTGTGTTAGTCCTACGTTCTTACATCTGAACCTTCACAGCATCAGTTAGATACAAATGGCAGTGGGATGTCTGGGAAAAAAACAAAAAAATACATTTTAAAAAGCCAAATCACAGGTTCATTAAATGAGTCTCATCACTGTACAAGTTTCAAATGGTATCAACATTAACTACGAGAGAATGGGGCATTCTCTCAGAAATCACTTTCTGACCTCACCTCTTTCGATTTTAACACATTTAAAACTGTGCCCTCAAATTTTACCCAAATTGGATTTGCACAATGCCTAAAGACATATCTTTTTCACAAATATACAATAATTTAATCATCACCATTTTCTCAGGTAAATGTATACATTATGTGCAAGACTTAATGAAGTAGGGCGGCAAAAAATGACTTCTCGAAACAGATTAATATACATTGTCTGACCCATTGAAGAATGATTTGCTCTATAAAATATCAGAACACGTTAAAGAATGTCCACCAGGCCAAGTCTTAAAGCTTAAATACCCCACCGCTGGATGATCTGAGTGACATGAAGGCAACTTAACTGCCAAGGAAATGCTTCTTTCAGGCTAATGAGAGCTTTGAATACCAGGAGAAATACCATATAAACTGACACAAACTGGAATACAATTAATGTGTTTAAGAGAAACATTTATGTCTTTGCCATGGCTTGGGCAAGTTCAAGACTAGTGGTCAAAATGGCACTACATTATTTTCTGAATAAAGAATCATTTAATGTAATTTAGTCCAATCCAATAACACCAGACAGAATTGACATGAAATTTACCAGAGGTCAATTAACACTTATCTCTAACACACAACACTATTTCTGTATAATAGTAAAATTAAACTTGTGTTTTCGACATCATCCCAAGCTCTGGAAAGCTGACTGTCAGTGCTCTTTATTTTCCTGACATTTTATAGACACAACTAACAAGTAATTAATCAGCAGATTAATTAAATGTTGAACAGTTATATGTAGGCCTAATGAAATAAACGACACATTTCCTGTGCTTGCACTGGCAACATGATAGGTATCCTTCACATCTCATATCCTCTGTGACTGGGATGAGTGTTGCCTAAACCACACTATAAATAAACATGTTATGTGTTTACATGACAGGCAACACCAAAACTACAGAATATGTCCTGATAGAAACCACAGGCAAGAAAATACAAATTAATATAACAATGCAGTAGAAGGAAGGTAAGAATTAAGTAAGCTCACCATCATCGGAATGCAGCGGGTGCTGCTTCACCTGTTTAACCGGTGCCTTCTCAGCTCACGAGGCTGCCGCTGTGAAATGACAGATGAGAACACTGATAAGGTAAAGAAAGGAAAGGAAGGTGCTCCTCCAAGCTCTCCGACTCACGGACACGCTCAAAAACGGTTTCGGTTGTTCAGTACCTCGACTCGTAAGCTAGGGCTACGTGTTGTTTACTTCTGAATGGATAAATGTGCTAAATTCAGTGGGAGTTACCTGCCAGTTAATGCGCGTCCAGGTGAGATGCACGACGTGTCCTGCGGTAACTGGACTGGTTCAAAGAAATTACTCAGGACAATAGAGAAAACTCTTAATCCTGTCAGGGGTCGATGTGTTTGCGGAACAGCCGAAACTATTTTCTCCCACGCTCACAGTCTGCCTACCTGTCCATATGCAAATGAGCCCGGTCACCTGTCCCTTGTGCGCCAATCAAAAATAGCTGCTCATCACAGTTTGTTTGTCCACCCCCATCAAATAGTCCAAGTTTTAATATTTTCTTTCTTCTTTTTAAATGTTGTAGGCTATTTGTTTGAACACAGAGTTCAATGTCTATTATTGTTGTCTTGCCAAAAACATCATCAATCACACTGATATTATGACAGTTAAGTTTAATTATTACAGAGAAAAGGCCTTGTCAGTTTAGAAAGTTTTTGTTTGTCAGCTGAGTACAAACTGCTTTCTGGCTTGTCCTACTTTCATTATTACTAATCAAACAAACTCTGTTCATGTCCAAATATTGGGACACCTGACATGCAGAACAAAGACACACTGTGGCTGCACTAGGCTGAACTTGGGCTTATCAGAAGTTTAAAGAATGAGTCATCCAGAATACAAGTTTAAAGCAAAGACAAAATGTCAATTTGAATTACACACAGAAGCTTCCTTTTTCTTAGTAGATCATGGCAGTTGTGGAAAGAGTATGAGAAATTACTTCTCAAACAGATTTACTGTAGCCTGACTGTTAGCTGTGAGCTCTGAAAGTGTACGAAATCTGACATACAACTAATAGAAAAAAATGGTTATTACCCATTAAAGTGATGGATGAATGTGATTTAAAATGCTTTGTTTAAAAAAAAAAAAAAGTATATATATGATTAATAGCCGTTACAAAAAATGTTTGGCTATTGGCTACTGAATTTAAGTCTTTATGTTGTTTCCTGAAATACGCTTGAGATAAGAAGATCCATGCTGATCTCATGTCTTTCAGTTAGCTATGAAGCTGCAGTCAGTTAACTTACACAAAGACTGGAAACAGGTGGAAACAGTTAGCCTGGCTCCGTCCAAAGTTAACAAAATCCATCTATCAGCACCTCTAAAGCTCACCAATTAACATGTTATATTTTGTTGGTGTAATCTGTGCAAAAAGCAGTACAGATTACAGAAAAAAACAACACATTGTGGTATGGAGGGTTATGAGAGCACTGTTTTGTGGCATAGACCTGTCTCCTCTCAGGTTGCAGACACTGGAAGCCTCCAAGAAGTCATGACTGAGGTGGTAGTCATGCAGGAGGTCTTTTTCCCCACCAAAGTACATTTGTAGTACAGCCATATGCTGTTTCGGCATTTATGCTGTAAATGGGTGCCGGTGGATTTGCATCCTGAATGAATGAATAATAAGATCAAGATCAAGATTAACTTTATTGTCCCCTGAGGGAAATTTGTCTTGAGCATCAGTGCCGCATGAGGCTGCAGTAACAACAGTAACACATATGTACTTTACACACACATAAAGCAGAAAACAATATAGCCTAACAAAAACTGAAAGTACAACCGCCACAATTCTAAATTTAAAAACTCATAGAAGATCTAGTTGTTAAAAACACTAGTGCAAGCGATTAATCAATATTAAACTATGCTTAAAAATAAATAAAGTGCCGGAAGTGCTTCAAGCCATCTTGTTCCAAGCAGATTGTTTTGCTAGCTCTGTAGCGTTTCCCTGAAGGTAATATATCATATTCAGAGTGCAGAATATGGGAAGGGTCCTTCAGAGTTTTCTGTGCCTGGGACACTAACATTTTTTTCAAAGATGGTCTGACAACCCGTTCTCACTCCCAAGTCGTCACATATGGACGCTTGGTCAAGAGCCATAATCGTCAGTTTGTGACGCACTAGGGATCCCTTTGACGTCATGAAGCCCTGTTGTGTCAGTTTTTGATGGTAAAGGCAAGTATGATATTTAAGAGAGAAGATGAAGTAAGGAGGTGATTGGGGTGGATAGAGGGCCAGAACCCGGACCTTGAAGCAGGAGAACAGGGTTTGTGTCCCGTGCGAAACAAAACATTAAATGTTTTTATTTAGGCGAGTGAGGTAAATTGACATTAACGTTAGTTAACTTCAGTCTTAATTGACATACATAGCTATTTTAACCCAAACCATGATGTTTTCCTAACCTTAACCAAGTAGTTTTGTTGCCTAAACCCAACCAAGTACTTTCTGTGCCTAAACCTAACGAAACTGCAACGTTTCACGACTTTAATTATGCGCGTTTCAACATGGCAATGTATCGAAACGTTACGTTTTATCTTGAAAGTGTAACCGGATATTGCATATTTATTGTTGCTAAGCGTTGCTAACTTGTCTATGGATCCCTAAACGTCAATAATTGATGCAAAAGGGCTACCCAAGTCTTTAAAAAGCGACGACAAAGGGCCTTGACCATGCGTCAGACATTTGACGAGTAGGGAGTGAGACTGTGTTGGGTCTGAAGGGAAGTGTAGTCTTTCTTTCCCATAACCTTCATCGCAACTTTTATTAGTCTTTCAATTTTTATTTTACAGTGGACGGTAAGAGTGCCAAACCAGGATGCCATTCCATATCTGATCAGACTTTCCAGCACCGCGTTGTAAAATAAAGTCATGATCTTAGTACTCACCCCTACCAGTCTCAAAATGCAGTCTTTAGGCCAGTTTGGCACACAAATAGTCAACATGCACATTTCCTTTTAGTTAGTTATCTAATTGTATACCCAAGTACTTATATGAAGTTACTTGCTCGATTTCTCTGTCCCTAGTGACTACATAGTCATGGGCACATATCATCTCTTTTGTTTTCAAATTATTAAGGATCAGATGATTCCTCACACACTAAGCCTTAAAGGAGTCAATCTCCCTGTAATAAGTTGAAGAGCAATCACCAGCATGTAATAAACTTAAAATGATTGTGTCATCAGAGAATTTTATGACATAGTTGTTGGACTCACTACTTCTACACTCATTACTGATACATTAGTATAAAGTGTGAACAAGAGTGGAGAGCTGACAGTTCCTTGAGGCACTCCTGTACTACAATATTTCGCCTTAGAGAGTGTAGGATTTACCTTCACTTGTTGTGACCTATTTGTTAAAAGAGAGTAAAATCGTTTGATAATTAAAGGATTAACTTTCATGTCAGCAAGCCTCTGAACAAGCAAGTGAGGACGGACAGTGGGTGGTGATGGAACAATTGATAAGACACATGCCTTTGGTGTGACATACCCGGGTTCAATTCCCCACTGTGACCCATCTGCCAATGTGTCCCTAAGCAAGACAGTTAATCCCTAGTTTCTCCAGAGGCATGCAACCTCTGACATGTATAGCAATTGTAAGTAATTTTGGATAAAAGCGTCAGCTAAATGAATAAATGTTAAAGCAGAACTAAAATCAGCAAATAAAACTTGTGCATAAGCAATGAGATTCGTTATTTGTTTAGCTATGGGCTGGAAATTGACTACAGGTGTTTTGCGTTTAGCGGATTGAGAAATAGAAGATCATTTATGTCATATACACTCAGTGGCCATTTTATTCGGTACACCTTTACAGTCTAATGCAATTCAATACAATAGTCCAGAAATCTGTTGAAGATAGACTCAATGGCTTATTCAGCTTCCAAAAACATTTGTTCTGCTCTCCTGCCCTGCTTTCCTCTCCACTGCATTGTTTCCTTTCTTCTCCTGTCCAACAACAACAATAAAACACATAAATGGTCAAAAAAATTCATGTTCAACATTAGCCTACATTAACTAGAATAAATTCAGAACAGGAGTAGAATTTAATGTTTTAAATATAAGTAAATATTGTTTCTAGAGCTGGAACAGCTGTAATGTTTACAACAACAATGTCACTATATCCATTCTGCATGTTTACATATATTTTTGTTTGTTGAACAGGTGTATTGATTAAGTAGTGGCTTTTTACTCATAAAGATTTATTGCACTTTGTGACGGCCCCGAGAGGTGTTGGTGTGGACCTGTGTGCTGTGTGGTGTCTGTGTGTTTCCCTCAGGAGGGCAATCAAGGAGATTGGGAGCACCTGGCCAGTGAGCCCCTATTTAGACCTGCCTGCCCAGACGCCAGTGCCTGTGCCTTTCACACCGCTTCACCACGTTGAGATATTTTTCAATAATCTTTGTTGCGGCCTCCTTTTTTGTTGCGGCCTGAGAGCCGGGGTTGTAACACACTTACTTACAGTTATGAGCGTGGTTGTCATCAACTTGAGTAATCTTGGATTGGTCACAGAGCAGGATTCCGAAGATTTCAAACCACATTTGTTGTTCACAATGTAAATTTAGCACAATCACAGGAAGAACCGGGTGTGTCAATAGTGTAATTTAGGAATTTAAAGCATCAGAGATGCTGGTATCTATACATCACTGCATCCTTCTCACATCTAGATGTGAATACCAGGAAATAAAAGCTGAAATTCTGAACTCACTTGTCTCATATTCATCTTAGGATCTTAAACCAAAATGTACCATTCCAATACTTAGACTGTATATACACATGTACACCAAATGTGGTTGCAATAGCACAAAGCTTTCAAGTGAGTTGCAACAAAAGCCCTGCCTGTGGGGAAAAAAAGATGAATATTAAATCTTTCAAAAAAGTTGATTAAGAGATGTTCTTTTGTCACATTCTGCCTCTATCACTCCCTTCAGCCAAATGTTCTCCAACCGCCTGCATTGCCATTCTACATTTATCTGTCAGGTGTCTTTAGCCTAGTCACCTGATTCTCACATTCCTGTTCCTGCAATTGAATATCCATGGAATCCAATAAATGATTTGAATACTCTTAAAAAATAATTATAATTCTAGAAATTTATATAATTATTTTTTGTTTTGAAGCCCTAGACCAGATTGCAGGACAGTAATCGAGGTGGGATAAGAGACTTAAGATTGTGTTACATGTTTAATTGTTATCTCTGTTTAAAAGTAAGAGGGCCTCCTGACGCCTCTGTACCATAGACCCTATATATCTCGCAAGATTAAATTGTGACAAGATATCTAGTCAGGTAAAAAGCTGTCTTGCAACTGAAATTTTTCATATGCTGTCACTCAAGCCATACATAAGATAGACTCGCGGAGCTAATCAACTCCGCCTAGCTGATGCCACACCGGTGTACGTCCTGATAGTAATCAACCGCACC